TGACCCCAAGGAGGGATTTTTGGGACAACAGGACAGGATTTTGGGGACTCTAGAACAGGATTTTTGGGACATCAGGGAGGGATTTTCGGGACTCCAGGACAGGATTTTTGGGGACACCAGGGCAGGATTTTTTGGACACTAGCACAGGATTTTCGGGACACCAGCACAGGATTTTTGGGATGCCAGGGAGGAATTTTCAGGACACCAGCACAGGATTTTGGGGACACCAGGACAGGATTTTCAGGACGCCAGGACAGGATTTTTCTGGAGCATCACGGAGAGATTTTTGGGATGCCAGGACAGGATTTTCCACGACCCCAGGGAGGGATTTTTGGGACATCAAGGAGCGATTTTCGGGACATCAGGGAAGGGATTTTCGAGATATCAAAAGGGATTTTTGGGACATCAGGGAAAGAATTTTTGTGATATCAAGAAGGGATTTTTGTGATATCAAGAAGGGATTTTTGTGATATCAAGAAGGGATTTTTGGGACATCAGGGAAGGAATTTTTGTGATATCAAGAAGGGATTTTCGGGACACCACGACAGGATTTTGGGGACACCAGGACAGGATTTGCCACGACCCCAAGGAGGGATTTTCGGGACATCAGGGAAGGGATTTTCGTGACATCAAGAAGGCATTTTTGGGGAGTCACATAGAGATTTTGGGGACACCAGGACAGGATCTTCAGGGTGCCAGGACAGGATTTTCGGGACACCATGACAGGATTTTTGGGACACCAGGACAGGATTTTGGGGACATCAGGGAAGGAATTTTCGTGATATCAAGAAGGGATTTTCGTGACGCCAGGACAGGATTTTCGGGACATCAGGGAAGGAATTTTTGTGACATCAAGAAGGCACTTTCGGGGAGTCACGCCCGGATCCCCCACCCCCCCAGCGCCCCCCGATGCCGGGGTACCCGCGTCCAGCGTCTTGACGATCTGGGGCGCGCGCTCGATGTCCAGCAGCAGCCCGTCCAGCCAGCCGCGCTCCCACAGGTACAGGAAGACGCGCAGGCGGTTCCGCAGCGCCGCCTGCGCCTCCTGCTGCCGCCGGCCCGCCTCGTCCGGGTGGTACTTGGAGCGGAACCTGCGATTTCGGGGAGAAAAACCGCGAAATCGGGGCTGGGCGGGGGACGGGGAATCGGGGAGGGGGCGTGGGGATTTTTTTGCATTTTTGGGGTGTTTTCAGACATTTTGAGGGATTTTTTACCAATTTTGGGGTGTTTTCACCCATTTCCAGGGCTTTTTTAACCATTTTTGGGGTGTTTTCAGACATTTCCAGGGCTTTTTTTACCATTTTTGGGGTGTTTTTACACATTTCCAGGGCTTTTTTTACCATTTTTGGGGTGTTTTTACACATTTCCAGGGCTTTTTTTACCATTTTTTGGGTGTTTTCACCCATTTTCAGGGCTTTTTTTACCATTTTTGGGGTGTTTTCAGACATTTTCAGGGCTTTTTTTGCATTTTTGGGGTGTTTTTAGACATTTTCAGGGACATTTTTGGGGTGTTTTTACACATTTTGAGGGATTTTTTTGCATTTTTGGGGTGTTTTCACCCATTTCCAGGGCTTTTTTTACCATTTTTGGGGTGTTTCAGACACGCACCAAGCGCAGATTTTTGGGGACTTTTTTTGGGCTGCTTTCACACCGTTTTGGGTTTTTTCCCAGCCCCTCCCGCCGCGTTTTTGGGGCGTTTTTTGGGGAATTCCCAGCAGCGTTTTCGGCGCGGTTTGAGGCCGTTCCGGGGGGGATTTTGGGGCGTCTCTGGGGGTCGGTTTTGGGGCGTTTCTGGGCGTTTTTGGGGCTCTTTTTGGGGCGCTCCAGGTGTCCCGTGGGGGGTGTGGGGGGGTCATACCTACGCTCGTCGCCGTCCGCCGGGCCCCGAAATCGGGGGGTTTTTTTGGGTTTTTTTTTGGTTTTTTTTGGTGTTTTGTTTCTTTTTTTTTTTTTTTTGGGGGGGGACATTTTTCAAAAAAACCACCCCCCGGAAAAAAATTGGGAAAAAAAAGCACAAAAATAAAACAACAAAGGTCCCTGGCTGAGTCCTGCACTGTGACCTCGCCGCATTGTGCGCGGCCCCGCCCTCTCTGCCTGCCCCGCCCGGCCCGGCGGCTCCGCGGCTCCCGAGGAGGGCGCTGCGGGAGAAGGAAAGGGTTAAACCTGGAGACACCCCAAATCTGCCCCAAAATCCACCCCAAAAGTGCCACGAATCCGCCCAAACACGCTGCGGGAGAAACCTGGAGAAACCCCGAAATCCGCCCCAAAATCCACCCCAAAAGTGCCACAAATCCACCCCGAAACTGCCACGAATCCACCCCAAAAAAGTGCCACGAATCCGCCCAAACACGCTGCGGGAGAAACCTGGAGAAACCCCGAAATCCGCCCCAAAATCCACCCCAAAAGTGCCACAAATCCGCCCAAACACACTGCGGGAGAAACCTGGAGAAACCCCAAAATCCGCCCCAAAATCCACCCCAAAAGTGCCACAAAACTGCCCCAAAACTGCCCCAAATCCGCCCAAACACGCTGGGACCATTTTTGGGGTGTTTTCAGACATTTTCAGGGACATTTTTGGGTGTTTTCACCCATTTCCAGGGCTTTTTTTACCATTTTTGGGGTGTTTTTAGACATTTTCAGGGACATTTTTGGGGTGTTTTCACCCATTTCCAGGGATTTTTTTGCACTTTTTGGGGTGTTTTCACCCATTTTCAGGGCTTTTTTTGTGTTTTTGGGGCGTTTTTAGACATTTTCAGGGACATTTTTGGGTGTTTTCACCCATTTCCAGGGCTTTTTTTACCATTTTTGGGGTGTTTTCAGACATTTTCAGGGACATTTTTGGGTGTTTTCACCCATTTCCAGGGCTTTTTTTACCATTTTTGGGGTGTTTTTAGACATTTTCAGGGACATTTTTGGGGTGTTTTCACCCATTTCCAGGGATTTTTTTGCACTTTTTGGGGTGTTTTCACCCATTTTCAGGGCTTTTTTTGTGTTTTTGGGGCGTTTTTAGACATTTTCAGGGACATTTTTGGGTGTTTTCACCCATTTCCAGGGCTTTTTTTACCATTTTTGGGGTGTTTTTAGACATTTTCAGGGACATTTTTGGGGTGTTTTCACCCATTTCCAGGGATTTTTTTGCACTTTTTGGGGTGTTTTCACCCATTTTCAGGGCTTTTTTTGTGTTTTTGGGGCGTTTTTAGACATTTTCAGGGACATTTTTGGGTGTTTTCACCCATTTCCAGGGCTTTTTTTACCATTTTTGGGGTGTTTTCAGACATTTTCAGGGACATTTTTGGGTGTTTTCACCCATTTCCAGGGCTTTTTTTACCATTTTTGGGGTGTTTCAGACGCGCACCGAGCGCAGATTTTTGGGGACTTTTTTTGGGCTGCTTTCACACCGTTTTGGGTTTTTTCCCAGCCCCTCCCGCCGCGTTTTTGGGGCGTTTTTTGGGAATTTCCCAGCAGCGTTTTCGGCGCGGTTTGAGGCCGTTCCGGGGGGGATTTTGGGGCGTCTCTGGGGGTCGGTTTTGGGGCGTTTCTGGGCGTTTTTGGGGCTCTTTTTGGGGCGCTCCAGGTGTCCCGTGGGGGGTGTGGGGGGGTCATACCTACGCTCGTCGCCGTCCGCCGGGCCCCGAAATCGGGGGGTTTTTTTGGGTTTTTTTTTGGTTTTTTTGGTCTTTTGTTTCTTTTTTTTTTTTTGGGGCGGGGTTTTTGGGGGGGGACATTTTTCAAAAAAACCACCCCCCGGAAAAAAATTGGGAAAAAAAAGCACAAAAATAAAACAACAAAGGTCCCTGGCTGAGTCCTGCACTGTGACCTCGCCGCATTGTGCGCGGCCCCGCCCTCTCTGCCTGCCCCGCCCGGCCCGGCGGCTCCGCGGCTCCCGAGGAGGGCGCTG